GTTAAACAGAAAGAATTTCAAGCACAGTGTACCGAAACATTGTGGCAATTGTAAGGATTTTAGCTTTCGAAATTTCATTTGTATCGGTATAGATGTCATGTCTCCACAGTGGAGAGGAGGTGACAGAGAGAAAACTTTAGCTATGAGAGAGACCGAATGGATCCATAAGCTAAAAACCTTAGTACCTACGGGTCTGAATGTTGGGCTTTATGGATTAAAGGTCCTGAATACATGCCATACATATGAAATATAGGATTATCTTGTAATAGATTTCTATTAATGCTGCTACTAGTAACTTTTTGGATTTTGCCATTTACCATATATACTCGAGTATAAGCCAAGTTTTTCGGCACATTTTTTGTGCTGAAAAAGCCCCCCTCGGCTTATACTCGAGTCAATGTCTGTATTATGGCAACTTACATTGCCATAATACAGACCAGTACCGTCGGGCTCACTACAAGCCCGGCGGTCCTGTTGGGGGCCGGGAGCAAGCGAGATCTACACTGTGAGCTGAACTACACTGTGAGCAGACCGCGAGATCTACACTGTGAGCTGAACTACACTGTGAGCAGACCGCGAGATCTACACTGTGAGCTGAACTACACTGTGAGCAGACCGCGAGATCTACACTGTGAGCTGAACTACACTGTGAGCAGACCGCGAGATCTACACTGTGAGCTGAACTACACTGTGAGCAGACCGCAAGATCTACACTGTGAGCTGAACTACACTGTGAGCAGACCGCGAGATCTACACTGTGAGCTGAACTACACTGTGAGCAGACCGCGAGATCTACACTGTGAGCAGACCGCGAGATCTACACTGTGAGCTGAGCTACACTGTGAGCAGACCGCGAGATCTACACTGTGAGCTGAACTACACTGTGAGCAGACCGCAAGATCTACACTGTGAGCTGAACTACACTGTGAGCAGACCGCAAGATCTATACTGTGAGCTGAACTACACTGTGAGCAGACCGCGAGATCTACACTGTGAGCAGACCGCGAGATCTACACTGTGAGCTGAACTACACTGTGAGCAGACCGCGAGATCTACACTGTGAGCTGAACTACACTGTGAGCAGACCGCAAGATCTACACTGTGAGCTGAACTACACTGTGAACAGACCGCGAGATCTACACTGTGAGCAGACCGCGAGATCTACACTGTGAGCTGAGCTACACTGTGAGCAGACCGCGAGATCTACACTGTGAGCTGAACTACACTGTGAGCAGACCGCAAGATCTACACTGCAGCCAGGCTGACACACTGTGAGCAGGCCACTTAAGATCTATACTGTGAGCTGAACTTACACTGTAAGGCAGACATGAGATCTACACTGTGAGCAGACCGCGAGATCTACACTGTGAGCTGAACTACACTGTGAGCAGACCGCGAGATCTACACTGTGAGCTGAACTACACTGTGAGCAGACCGCAAGATCTACACTGTGAGCTGAACTACACTGTGAGCAGACCGCGAGAGATCTACACTGTGAGCTGAGCTACACTGTGAGCAGACCGCGAGATCTACACTGTGAGCTGAACTACACTGTGAGCAGACCGCAAGATCTACACTGTGAGCTGAACTACACTGTGAGCAGACCGCAAGATCTATACTGTGAGCTGAACTACACTGTGAGCAGACCGCGAGATCTACACTGTGAGCAGACCGCGAGATCTACACTGTGAGCTGAACTACACTGTGAGCAGACCGCGAGATCTACACTGTGAGCTGAACTACACTGTGAGCAGACCGCAAGATCTACACTGTGAGCTGAACTACACTGTGAGCAGACCGCAAGATCTACACTGTGAGCTGAACTACACTGTGAGCAGACCGCGAGATCTACACTGTGAGCTGAACTACATTGTGAGCAGACCACAAGATCTACACTGTGAGCTGCTGCACAGGTAGGAGCTTGCTCCTGGCCCCCCCACTGCACCACCAGGTATTAAGATAACCCCCCTCCTTGGCCAGGTATCAAGCAGGGAGGGGGAGGGGGGGAAAGAAACAAATATTAAAATAATAAAATAATATTAAAATAAAAAGGCCTTCCCCCCACCCAGTTTACACACACTACACAAACACACACACTCTGCATCATATACACACACACACACACTGCATTTCCCACCCTAGGCTTATACTCGAGTCAATAGTTTTCCCAGTTTTTTTGTGGTAAAATTAGGGGGCTTGGGCTTATATTCGGGTCGGCTTATACTTGGGTATATACGGTATATGTTTCTACAGCTTTTATGTTCATTGGGTTTAATAATTTTTTACACTTGATATATGTTTGAGCCTTTTAATTGAGTATATTTCAATTTTTAGATTCAATTCGATCCTTTTTTCATTCTCTTTTTTATATTTATTTTTATTGTTATTTTATGTATATATATATTTTTTATATTTATTTTTCATCTTTATTTTTATTATTTATCATTTATTATTATTATTAATCACTATTTTTTATTCTTGATCATTTCCTGGATTACTCCTGAGTGTTCTCCTCCTTATTTATTAATTAGACCATGTACAAATTTAATATGTTCTTGATTTGTATGTTCTTAACTCAATTTGCTTTTAATTTATAATGTATTTATTCAAAACTTCCTTAATTTAATACTTTTTTATTTTAAGGATGATCACCATTTATTATATATCTTGATTATGTTATAAAATACACAATCTTCTGTTTCAATCTCGTGGACGGCATAGTCCCTAACATATACAATGTATGACTGGACGTGCTGTTTGTCTGCGAACAGCACCAATAAAGTTATTTTGCGTTCCAGGATGCCGTTTGCGCATGCGCGGTGGGACAAGTCGAGCGTAATTACGTAATTATGTAAAAAATTAATTTTCTTTTTACTAATCTCTTGTGTCAATTGGATATTCCATTGGTGATTGATGATATCTTTTTTATTTGGAATATTGATGATATCTTTTTTATTTGGAAAGGATTTGAGACAGGTTTTAGCTTTTTTAAGTTTTTTTAAACAGCAACCAATGGAATATCCAATTGACACAAGAGATTAGTAAAAAGAAAATTAATTTTTTAGATTTAGAAATGTATATAGAAAATTATCAAATCAAAACGAGAGCCTTTTTTAAAAAAAGTGGATGTCAAGACTAGGGACTAATGAAAGTATTTAGAAAATTGGGCAGACTAGATGGGCCGAATGGTTCTTATCTGCCGTCACATTCTATGTTTCTATGTTTCTATAATAGTTACATCCACACAGAAAGTTGTCATCATCAACCCGTGGTTGGAGAATATCCCAAGAGGACAGTTTCTAAGACTTAAGCGAAACTGTACTGACTTGGATTCTTTTAGCAACCAGGCTGATATTCTTAAAAATCAATTTCTACATCGAGGATATACGTTGGAACATTTAAATAGAGAAATAGATAAGATTAGAGATTTGGATAGGAATACCCTCCTTATATACTAATTTTTTAGAGTCGTATAAAGATAGTAAAAAGGGATTCTTTTATTGTGGAGATTGTATGGGTTGTAAAAACTATAAATATCAAAATAGGAAGGTGGTACATTTTAAATCTAGGGCAGGTAACCCAATATATAAGATAGATTCATTTATTTCCTGCCATTCTAAAAATGTGATCTATTTGCTCACGTGTCCTTGTGGGCTACAATACATTGGTAAAACATCTAGGTGCCTCAAAACAAGGATACGTGAGCATATCTATAATATTAGGAGGGGTGTTTAAAAACACAACATATCATTAAATTTTTTTAAATGCCATGGAGGAGACCCCTCTGGACTCCAATTCTTCGGCATACAAAAGATAGAAGCCCATTGCAGGGGGGGTTAGGGGAGATCTGGAATCGACGTTGAGCCGCTGCGAGATGAAGTGGATATTTAATTTGGACACTTTGTCTCCTGGTGGACTCAACGTCGATTTCGAGATGTCAGCACTTATTTAATTTTATTTGTGTATTCTATTTTTTTTTTCTATTATATTTATGTATTTTAATTGTGGATTTCCACTTTTTTAGGTATTATTTAAAATTATTTATTTATTTTTAAAATGAATTAATATCTTTCTGTTTTCTTGTCTCCTACAGATGTATTATGTACCATTTATTTACCTTTAATTATATATAGATACATATATTGTATTATTTTTATTGAGGCATTTTTAACTTATAGTTATGCATTACCAAGTACTCCCCACTATAAGTGTATTTCACTTTAAAGGGATCATCCTCCTCATATTATAGATGTGACAGAACCATCTGTCTATCTATTGTGGTGGATTCGTCTATTTCTGCCCCCTTTCGTGTAGATGGCTGTTTCTATAGCCCAGCCATACGAATGACTCTTTTCACCGAACGGATGGCCACCCAGGATAAGAAGTGTGCTGCAGCGGTGTTTGGCACTGATTCCATGGAACTAAAAACGGACACTTTTTCTGCCGAACACCGCTGAAACAACGGGTCGCCTGGCTGCCTCGACGGAAGCGTACGAACACCGGCCGTTCGGGAGTTTTAAAACACACGAAAGGACTTAACCCAGATAGCCTTCCCATGGAGTCAATCGCATACCGAAAGACTGTAAGGACTTTGACTCCATGGCGATTGAACTATGTGTGTGGGATCTGAGCGCTATTCGCCAATAATATGCACTCAGATCCAGGTTATCTGGGGATGTGTGATACGAATGGGAAATGTTCGGTTATTTTAAAGTTATGCATTTTTATGTGTTTTCTGGTATTGTATTTAAGATGGCGATTTGTCTTTGTCCTGGAGATAATTAAATTACTTCTCAATTATCTCCAGGGCAGAGGGGAGGAAACCATATTGCATTGTGGGAAAAGCTTGTGACTGTACGTCTGAAATGTCCCCATGTCCATCTGTAATTCCAGTCTCCCATTTGGTCCCCTAGGGGAGTGTTCACCAAGTGGGAGACCGGCATAAATACGGGCAGGTAGCCCACAGTAAAGCCAGATTCTGTTTGACCCTCAATGCGGAGCTTCTGTCTCGTTATGGGTGGGATTTCTTATTTGCGCTTAGAGACTGCTGATTGGAACCGAAAGCCGCTTGGTGGATATCGTTGTTCGGCGGCTAGCAGCAGTTCGTGGATTTCTGTTCGGGAGTTTGGAGCCTTTCACGGATCCCGGTCGGGAGATTACCGCTTCCCCTGATGGTGGTTCGTATACTGCAGTCTATGCGAACTGAGTTATTGGTATTGCGAAAGGGGAAGGCTAACTAAACGGCGGTTTCGTTTAAAGACACCAGGGGTGTCTTAACAATAGATATGTAAAAATAATAAATATCTTCCAGTTGAAAGTATGTTCTCTTATTTGCATTTTATGAATTTTGTTATATAGATGTGTAATCCTATTAAATATTTTCTACGTAAGAATGTTTTTAATTTGTATTTTATGAACTTTTATTTGTTATCTAGATATGCAATATTATGAAATATTTTATAGTTGAGAATATGTTTCTTTTTGTAATGTATGTATGCATACTTGTTTAGTGTTTGTTTAAATATGGAGAAATAACATTCACTTTATATACTTGATGTATTTATTTGAAGTTTTCTGCATGTAGTGGCTCTTTTCCCAGTTCAAATATGGCGAAAACACCAGTGCTGCCGACATCCAAAGAATTTACAAGGTGAAGATCGAGAATCCGGAAGTGACGTCATTGCGTAGGACATCAGGTGACCGGATGGAGAGTCACGTGGTGCGGATGTTTGGCGAACCCGGACGCCGGCAAAACGGCGCCAAATTCATTGATAGAAGTACTATTTAAAAAAGAGAGAAGACCAGCATTTACCACACACTTTGGCAAAGACCTGGAGGTCGAAACGCGTTAGTGCTGTGGACTTTTTATTTTAAGTTTATTTCTGTTTCCTGTATTTTATTTAGTAAAGTTTTAATTTGCTCTTTACTAATTGGATATCCTGGAAATCATTGAAGGGCTGCAAAGAAGCTATCCTGTCTAGGAATCTGAAAGCCAGAATAAGCTAATTATTCACCTGCCACTGAAGTCGGAGCCAGCTTTGATTGATACATAACAGTATTACACTATGTATGTGTTTTTATTGTAGGAAAATCAGGAGGTGTTCCACTCATTATATTAAGTATACAGGATTTTTGTATATTTCCTTTGCACCCCCCTTATATCCTTTTCTTTCACTTCATATCTGAGTGCCATTTAGTGATTTTGGGCACTGGGGGTAGTTGCTTATTCTTTGGTTTTAAGTGCCAATCCACCATTCTTTTGTTGTGTTTGAACTTCAAGCAGAAACTGTCCAAAAACTCACAAGTTCAATGGATGCAGGACTTGCAAAGCTGCTATCAAATAATGGGTCCTATGTTAAAATGTAACGTGACCTGTTAAAATGTTTAAAAAGTTAAAATGTTGTTAAAAATTTGATTGAAATAGCTTTTGATTTCAGTAAATATGATGCAAACACAACAAATGACAATTTTCAGTTCTTTACAACCTATAAAGTGTTTTGAAACTTACTGTGCGTAATAATTTGGAACAGTGCATTGTAAGTTTTTTATGTTTAAAAAAAAATACTGTTATCATTAGGAGGTTTGTTCAATAAAATTTGAATTGTACTCTTAACCCCTTAAGGATGGAGCCAAATGTACACGTTGTGAACGAAACAAAATGTAAACAAAACCTCGCATTTGCGCTACATGTCTGTCCAACCGTAATTCACCTCTTTCATATTAAATGCACCCACCCTTATTATATATCATTTTATTCAGGAGAAACAGGGCTTTCATTTAATATCAAATATTTAGCTATGAAACATAATTTAATATGAAAAAAATGGGAGAAAATAAGATTTTTTTAGTTCTACATGACATTTTAACGGTCAATGTCATAATACTGTTTGCATTTACTGCAATAAAATACACATATTTGTATTCAGCAAAGTCTCACGTGTAAGACAGTACCCCCTATGTACAGGTTTTATGGCGTTTTGGGAAGTTACAGGGTCAAATATAGCACATTATATTTGAATTGCTCACTAGATATTACGCTGTTTTGGGATTTATAGCCTGAATGAAATCTATACTCATACGGTATTAATATTTGCAATAGTAGACAACCCAAGGTATTTCAAATGGGGTACGTCCAGTCTTTTTTAGTAGCCATTTGGTCACAAACACTGGCCAAAGTTAGCGTTAGTATTTGTTTGTGTGTGAAAAATGCAAAAAACGCCAATTTTGGCCAGTGTTTGTGACTAAGTAGCTACTAAAAAAGACTGGACATACCCTGTTTGCAATACCTTGGGTTGTCTACTATTGCAAATGGTATGCCATCATAGGGGTAATTTTCATTCTTGAGCTACCATAGGGTCTCAAAGGCAACGTAACCAATCTGGCGAATTTTAATGTGAAAAAAATGAAACGCAAGCCTTATATTTGACGCTGTAACTTTTGAAAACACCATAAAATCTGTACATGAGGGGTACTGTTGTACTCGGGAGACTTCGCTGAACACAAATATTTGTGTTTCAAAACAAGAAAAAGTATCGCAGCAATAATATCGTCCGTGTAAGTGCTGTTTGTGCGTGAAAAATGCAAAAACGTCACTTTTACTGGCGATTTTTTTTTTTGGAAACACTAATATTTGTGTTCAGCGAAGTCCCCCGAGTAGAACAGTACCCCCCATGTACAGGTTTTAAGGTGTCTTGGAAAGTTATAGGGTTAAATATAGTGCTAGCAAATTAAATTCCCTTTACTTTCGGCATGGGTTGTCAGGCAGGTCCCGCTAATTGTAATTAATTAAAATACCCAATTATGTAAAAATATTACATAAATATATATGTAGAATATATGTATATATATATATATATATATACACACGTATGTGAATATATATATATATATATATATATAATTTTTTAAAAATATTTTTATTTATATATAGATATATATATTGATATATACGTATATATTTATGTATATAGATATATATTATTTCGTTCTATGTGTATTTTGATATAAATATATATATTAATATCACAATACAGTTAGAACGAAATAACACATCTATATATTTTTTAATAATTTTTTTATTTTATTTTTTAACGTATTTACATATTTAATTTTTTTATATATAAATATATATATATAACATTATATATATATTTAATCAGTATCAGTCTACGTGTAATTTGATATTATATATTTTTTTTTTTTAACAGTATTTAATTTATTTTAATTTTATTTCTAGCCAGCAGGGGGACCACCTGTCATTACAGGCAGCCCCCCTGCTGGCAATGCTGCAGCCAGCTATCCCGGCCATGTGATTGTGAGGTCCTCACAAGGACCTCACTCTCACATGGTCAGCTGCAGGAGGAAGATGTGTTATGGGGCCTCCATGAAGTTCCCCACGCGAATCGCCGCGGACGCTGGCGACCAGTAAGTACAGAAAGACCGGAGGGCGTACTATTACGCCCGGCGACGTTTAGAGCCGCCTATAATAGGGCGTAATAGTACGCCCTCCGGTCTTAAGGGTTAATAGTTGATAACATGAGAATTATGCTGACTGTTATTTACATCAATTATTTAGGTAAATTAGAAAAATATAATTTGCATAATAATTTGGTACAGGGTGTATTTTGTACCTTAAAATAGGGGGTTGCAACTTTCAGTATTTTTACTCCAGTTTCAACTGTGGTCTGTGCCGTTATCCCTGTAACAATGTTCCAACACCCAACCAGGATATTCCCAGAACCCTCACAATGCATGTGTTAATGGGTTTCATTGTAATAATAACAACAAGACAAGACAAGACATGTGATCAGATTATACATATAGCTACAGGATTTATTATTACACACTCTATGACATCTCAGTGCCGTGGGGTCAGTCTTCCTGAGGAGGGCTGAGGGAGGCGGAACTGTGCGAGACTAACATCAAAATCCACAAAGGTGAAAGACGTGTAGGAGTAGTGCTGCAGGTTCTGGTACCTGGAGTTATCGAAGGGCAGATCAGCGACTGCGGCAGGTGATGGCACTAGGAGAGGAGTGAAGAGGAGATGGTGAGAGAGAGCACCAGAAGTAGATTACGAATAAATCAGTTGCCTTGCAAACACAATGAGAATACAAGATGGACAAGCAGGAGCTATGGTGATCGGTCATGCCTCCTTTGACATGAAGCTTGATCTGCCGACTATCTAACCTTGACAAGAGTCTGCTCACAAATCAAGTTTGGTTCTGGACTTCCAGCCTATTTTCTCCCTTGAAGGGACATCAAAACAACTTTATGGTCCAGAGTCAATTCTCTGCCATTTAGGAGTTAATGCAGTCCTAGTCACACCTCCCTGGCTGACACTCACAGAGCCTCTCTACACACTTCCTAAAAAAGAACTCAAATGTTTTAGCTTCACGTATTGCAGTATGTTTATGTAGAATATAACATATTCCATGTTACTGTTCATATTAGGTATTGATGCCTCATTTGCTATTCTGTATCATGAGAAAGCGGGAATGTGAGTGTATAATAACAGAATTGAGGGTCTTCACATGTGTCCTTATATGGTCACAGTTTTAGGTAAAAGTTCTGACGTAATTATAGTCAGGTCTGTAATAGAACAGTAGACAGAGGACAACATTCTTGTCCCCTGACTTTCTGGACCAAGGCACTTACTCTCCAGAAGATCTCTGTCTGTAACATCTGTTAAGTCTTTTTACATATGTACCGCTGTTTGGGTGGGGAGTACAATAAATGTATATATTTTTTATCAGATTGCATATTAATATTTTTGGGTGATATAGAAGGATATTATGCCATTTAAAAGTATATACATAAAAAAAGAACTCTCTATATATTCCAATCACCCTTAATATATACATAGTTATTACAGTTTACTTACGTAGAGAACAGATAATTGAGCTAGGGAATGATGATCTATATAACCTAAAGTTGTTTTGGTGCTTAAAAGAGGTGGCCTCTTATTTAAGGCATAATGAAAAATATATACTTTATGTTGGGCCCATGTAATGGCTGAGATTGCTTGGTCAATCCAGCTTCTCCGGTCATTTCAGTGGGAGGCTCTATTAACCTGTTGATGGGATCTGCAGTTTCATTCATTAACATACATGCATGAAGGGCACCACGAGGGTCTAGTGCTGGGCAAATCTTTATAATCATAGATTTCTCAATAATAATGGAAATTTGAAAATAATGATCTGACTACTATAAGTTTACAACAGACGTACAAGACCCTGCGTGAATCACGAGAGTGCGGACTGCGCAGCATGAATCACTAGAGCGTCAGGGCTGAGAGCACCATGAGAATTGTTAGAGACACGGCAGAGCACACTGTGCAAGAAGAGAGCGCACAAGATTAACCACATAAGCGTCTCAGTAGAGAGAGCCATGTTAACCGTGACTGCATCATGATAGAGCGTGTCGTGTGAACCACAAGAGCATCAGTAGACAGCATCTTCCATAAGCCAGGACAGTGGTGACATAAACCAGGAGAGCGACACGACAGCAGTGACGTAAACCAGGAAAGGCGACACGACAGTGGTGACGTAAACCAGGAAAGGCAACATGACAGTGGTGACATAAAGCAGGAGAGCGACACGACAGCGGTGACATAAATCAGGAGAGTGACACAATAGCGGTGACATAAAGCAGGAGAGCGACACGACAGCGGTGACATAAAGCAGGAGAGCGACACGACAGCGGTGACATAAAGCAGGAGAGACACAACAGCGGTGACATAAACCAGGAAAGGCGACACGACAGCGGTGACAAAGCAGGAGAGAGACACGACAGCGGTGACAAAGCAGAAGAGAGACACGACAGCGGTGACAAAGCAGGAGAGCGACACAACAGCGGTGACATAAAGTAGGAGAGAAACACGACAGCGAGCTATATTTAGAAAAGCCAGGGGGTGCGTACCAAGTATTTAATAAGACCAATGTTTCTAAAACTTATCTTGGCTTCCTACAACTACTGATCCCAAGCAATGCAACACAGTGCGTCTGACACAGGCTGAGACACACTGGATTAAAGAAGAATCTTCTAAGGCAGGGGTGGGGAACCTTTGGCCCTCCAGATGTTTTGGAGTACATCTCCATTGATGCTTTGCCAGCATTATGGCTTGATGGCTACATATGGGAGATGTAGTCCAAAACATCTGGAGGGCCGAAGGTTTGCCACCCCTGTTCTACGGCAAGGCAGAGAGGGGGGCAGGGGACTAATTCCTACAGATCACTGCTCACATGATGTTTCAGGCTCCTGTCTGGCTGCTGTTTGAGGTTCATCACACACTTGATCTTCAAGCACTGGGGTCTTATCAAACTCCGCTCTAGTCTCCACTGAAGGTGACCGTCCACTCGGAAGCTTCTTATCCTCTACAGGATTACTTGCTTCTTCCTCAATAGGCAGAACATTGTCAGCTGGTCTCGGATTTATTTGTGCATCTTTCTGGGTGCTTAGAGGTGAAGGATATACATCCCCTAGAGTATTTGGAACTGGAGGCGACGTTTGTTTGCCCCCTTGAGTATTTTGTATTGAAGGTGTAGAATGTACATCCCCTAGAGTGTTTGGAATTGGAGGCAAAGTTTGTTTGCCCCCGTGGGTATTTTGTATTGAAGGCAAAGGTTGTACATCCCCTAGGGTGTTTGGAATTAGGGGTGTAGACTGTTTTTCTTTCCAGACATTCTCTGGGATAGGGACCTTCAATTTATCATCTTTTGAAGCTGCAGGAGACCCCACATTATTTGCTGGATTCTCTGGAATAGATTGTTGGGACCATCCTGCAACGTCTCCATTTTCACCCACAGTGTAGCTTCCAGATCTTGCAGGCTTCCCGTTTTGAGAGTCAGATTCCTCGTTTTCTGAATCAGAGTCAGAATCAGAACTGGAGGAAGAAGAAGATGAATGTTCTTCCTGATTTGACCCCATTTCTCTTTTCTTCACCTCATCTCCTGCCTGCACAACCCTATCGGAGTCATTTTTCTCCAAGACCTTCATCAGGCCCACACCTTCCTCGATAGGTTTCATTGGAGGAGACACAGGAGGTGGGACACTTTGACTTTTGTCCTCACCTTTCACTGAATCCTTGGAGCCGGACGAGAACTTCACTGGGAATGAGACCAGAGTCTTGCTGCCTCCAGTTTGAGAAGCTGCGTTACCTAAGACAAAAACAGATGCACTTAATGTTTCCTTGACCAACACCTCATTGGAGTTATCTCAGCCTTGCTATAAGTGACCTTCCCATGGTAGAATCTAGGCTTCTTCAAGTTCAAGCCAGCCTAATTCTTTAGAACTCATATTATACGAATACAGATTTCACTCGATTCTCTTACATGAACTGCTTGTATGTCAAAATAGACATCATGTAGAAAGTAGAAATGTTCAAATTGGACACTGCGGCACCAATATAACTTTAATGCAGTACCTTATTAGTGTATATACACAGTTCAGCCACTGACAGCACGTTGAACCTGGCAGCAGACAGTCAGAGAAATTACAAACAGGCAGTGATATACTTACTATTAGAATTATATAACTAGCGTAAGAATTGCTGGGATTCCAAAGTTGATTTCAAGTAAACACCAAAATAGCTGAATTGGAATTGGAAGTCAGAAATGCTTTCAGTTCAGCTATTTTGGTCCAAAGTTTGAAATTCACTTTCCATTGGCAACAAGTTGACTTTATTGAATAACCTTTGTACAAGTCTTCCTGACAAAATGTGCAAAGCTGAAAGGGAGCGGGGATGGGCATAAGAAGTGTTAGAGATGGTTGTTAAGGGCACAGAGTTCACTAAATACCAACCTATAATAATTAGAAAATTGAATGGCAAAATATCACCATCTGTGTTACAAACACAATTCGACAGGTTTAGCCTGTAATTTCAATTCTTTACAATTGGCTTTTGAATGAACATGCCCCAATAATTTGGCGGCACCTTCACTGATGTCTCTTTAAAAAAAACCTTTGGTCTCACCTGTCCTCTGCAAATGTAATGATCTCACACCAATCATCTGCAACCGGAAAACCTGCCGGATAAATACAACATCACTAGGTACATAATACGCTTGCCCGTGATGTCATCCTTCTACCACTCACTGCCCTGTGACATCATCCCTCTATCACTCACTGCCCCGTGACATCATCCCCAGCCGCTCACTGCCCCGTGACATCATCCCTCTATCACTCACTGC